GTTTCTTCCTTAATCCTTTCAATTTTTTTTCATGTAGCTCCCAACACCCCTCGTCTCTGACAACTGTCAGTCTGTTCTCTTATCTATGAGTCTGTTTCTATTTAGTTTGTTAGTTTATTTTGTTCATTAGATTCCACATGAGTGAATTCATATGGTACTTGTCTTTCTCTGACTAGCTTATTTCATTTGGCATAAAGATTTCCAAGTCCATCCATGCTGTCATAAAGGGTAAGATATCCATTTTTATAGTCAAGTAGTATTCCATTGTGGAAATGTACCACACCCTTTTTATCCATTCATCTACTGATGAACATTTGAGCTGTTTATGGATTTGTTATTGTAAATAACTCTGCTGTGAGCATAGGGGTGCATATATTCTTTCTGATTTGTGTATTAGGTTCCTTTGTATATATTTCCAGAAGTGGAATCACTGGGTTATAAAGTTTTTCCATTTTAATTTTTTGAAGTATTCCCTACTGCTTTCCACAGTGGCTGCAGCAATCTACATTCCCACCAACACTACAGCACTCTGTTGTTTGTTGATTTATTGATGAAACCCATTCTGACAGGTGTGAGGTGATATACCATTATGGTTTTATTTTGTATTTCTCTGATGATTAGAGACGGTGAGCATCTTTTCTTATGACTATTGGCAACTGTATGTCCTCTTTGGAGAAGTGTATATTCAGGTGCTTTGCCCATTTCTTTTTGTTTGTTAATCCTCACTTGAGGATATTTTTTCCATTGCTTTTTAGAGAGAGTACAAGGGAGGGAAGAGAGAGAGGGAGGGAGAGAGAGAGAGAACATCAATGCAAAAGAGACACATTGATTAGCTGACTCCTGAAGGTGGCTAATCAGGGCTGGGATTTAACCTGCAACGCAGGTACGTGCCATTGACCGGGAATCAAATCCAAGACCGCTTGGTGCATAGGCCACTATGCTAACCATTGAGAGACACAGGCCAGGGCAGGCTTTGCCCATTTTTTAGTCAGAATTTTTGGGGAGTGTTTAGTTGTATAAGTTTTTTTATGAATTTTGGATATTAACTTCTGATCAGATGTATCACTGGTGAATAAGTTCTCCCATTCAGTAGGTTGTCTTTTCATTTTGTTAATAATTTTCTTTTCTGTGCAAAAACTTTATTTTGATGTAGTCCCATTTGTTTATTTTTTCTTTGGTTTCCCTTGCCCAAGATGACAAATCACAAAAATATTGCAACTGGAAATTTCCGAGATTTTGCTGCCTATGTTTTTTTCTCATATTTTTATGGTTTTGAGTCTAACATTTAAGTCTTTAATCCATTTGGAGTATGTCTTGTATATGGTGTAATAAGGTGGTCTAGTTTCACCTTTTTTAATGTATATGGACAACTTCCCCAACACCATGTATTGAAGAGACTATTTTTAACCCATTGTATGTTTTTGCCTCCTATGTCCAATATTAATTGACCATAAAGGCGTGGGTTCATTTCTGGGCTCTCTATTCTGTTCCATTGATCTATGTCTCTTTTTTATGCCAGTACCATGTTGTTTTGATTACAATGGCTACGTAGGTATCAGGGAGGGTGATTCCTCCATATTTTTTCTTCTTTCTCAAGACTGTTATAGCTATTTGGGGTCTTTTGTTGTTCCACACAAATTTTTGGAACATTTGTTCTACTTCCATAAAATATGCTATTGTTGTCATTGATAGAAGTTGCATTGAATGTTGCTTTGGTTACTATGGATATTTTAACCGTGTACAAATTTTTCCTATCAATGAAAACTATATATGCTTCCACTTGTTGGTAATTTCTTCAATTTCTTTGACATCTTATAAATTTCCAAGTACAGGTCTTGGTGAAATTTATTACTAGGTATTTTTAATGCAATTTTGAGTGGGATTGTTTTCTTAGTTTCCCTTCTGATAGTTCATTATTGGTGTATGAAAAGGAAACTGATTAGTGTATAATTATTTTGTATCCTGCTACTTTAATGAATTCATTTATCAGTTATAGTGGTTTATTGGTGTAATATTTAGGATTCTCTTTATATAGTATCATGTCATCTGCAGATAATGACAGTTTTACTTATTTGTTTCCCATTTAAATATCTTTTATTTTTTCCTCTCGTCTGATTGCTGTGGCTAGGACTTCCAGTATTATTTTGAATAAGAGTGGTGAAAGTGAACAATCCTGTCTTCTTCCAGATCTTAAGGGAAACACTTGTAGTTTTGGCCCATTGAATATAATGTTTGTTGTGGATTTGTCATATATGCCCTTTATTATGTTGAGGTATGTTCCCTCTATTCCCACTTTACTGAGAGTTTTTATCATAAAAGAGTGCTGAATTTTATAAAACGCTTTTACTGCATCTATTGATATGATCATGTGGTTTTTATCCTTCATTTTGTTTATGTGGTGGTTATCACATTTATTGATTTGCATATATTGTACCAACATTGCATCCTCAGAATAAATCTCACTTGATCGTGGTATATGATTTTTAAATGCATTTCTGGATCTGGTTTGCTAATATTTTGTTGAGGATCTTAGCATCTATATTAAAGACAATAGCCTCGAAAAAAACCAAGATGGCAGCATTGGTAAACACCGGAGATTGCTGCTTAGCACAACCACTTCAAGAATACAACTAAAAGACGGAACAGACATCATCCAGAACCACAGGAAGGCTGGTTGAGTGGAAATTCTACAACTAGAAGGAAAGAGAAAAGCATACCGAGACTCAGAGGATGTGCGGTGCGGGAGTATAGAGGTACGGAGGCGCACACGGGGAGGGCTGGCGGCTGAGGACACAGTTGTCTTTTTCAATCGGTAGGGAGTCTCAAGCTCTGAGCTCCCGTTCTGGGCAAGTCTCTGCGGACCCAGACTCAAACAGGAGAAACTGGACTATCTGGCATCGGTCGGAACTTGAGGGCAGCTTTCTCTTGGAGGTGCTTGCAGCGATTGCTGGGACACTGAGAAGCGGGGCCTCTGAGGGCAGCCATAGCTGCTTGCTCCACCCTGTTGATCCCCTGGGACTCCTGCCCCGCCCAAGCTGTGCGCCGGCTTTTGCATATGAAAAAAAGTCTCTTTGCATATGAAAGGCAT